ACACAAGTGCTACCTAGCACCTTTGTGCTCACAATGGTGGTTCTATACATACAAGGAGTTGGATAGTGGTGCGTTGACTATATGCGACTAACAAACTTGTCGTACTATTGGTGTAAAGAGTATTTTTATGAGGACACATGATGGTACAATGAGAGAGCTGACTGATATTAAACATGTTTCAGATATCAGAAAGAATTTGCTATCATTTGGGGTCTTAGAGTCCAAGGGAGATAAGCTAGTTATCGAGACAGAAGATTTGAGGATATGTCGTGGAACAATGGTTTTTATGAGGGAGTTCGTCATCACAATATTTACAATCTTTAGGATAGTACAGTGACTTGAAGGATTGGTGTTGCTGAAATTCTTCTAACGCCACAATGTTATGTAATATGCGGCTAGCTTATGTTTGACAGTTTAACTTCAGACTTTGGTGAAGAAATGATATATCAAAGGAGCAAGCACCTGCAAACTTTATTTTTATGAGCACTGTATGTTTGAAAAGATGACGTAGGTATATTGAAGAAGGCATTGTTATGTTGAAGAAGATTGACACGAAGTAGAATCCAGTTGTACACATATTGCAAGAGTTTGGTGAACATTCGAGCTTAGGACTGATTACTCAGTCATGCATTTTGAAGAACTACGCGATGCTTGATCCCTTTAGGAGGGGGGTACATAGAAAACCATCTTAGTTCTACTGATTTGGAGTCGAAGCTTAATTGATCGTCTCTCACTTATTTTAAGGTAATAGATTATGTGGAGATTGTTTGTATTTATGACTTTTATTTAATAGATTTATTTTATTTTATTTGTTTCATTTTTTATTTCTTTCTTTATATTCTTTAAGTCTCCTCTATATAAATATATAAAAAAGAAATAAGGCTTAGGAGAGGAGTACGTTAATAAGTGTTGTATTGTAACCCCAAACCATCTTTCTTTCTCCCCATTCGTTGCTAGTAAAATCTCCCTCCCTGTGGATGTAGGAGATTCATTCAATGTCGAACCGTCTAAATCCTTGTGTTTGATTGTTGTTGTATGAATTTCTACGTTTTTGCATTATTTTTGTATAATATCTTTAACCCTAGAGATGAGCATTCGGTCAGTTCAGACGATTTGATTTTCAAATTGGGCAAACTGACTTTAACCGGAATCCAAAATTCAAAGTACTGAACCAAACAAAATTTTGATAAAATCGAACCAGTCAAACCAAAGTTTAATTCATTTTAAACGGTTCATTTTTTACCTGAACCGAAATATAGCTTGAAGGTATAAAAATATGATGATAATAAGAGAAAATGAAAAATTATTAAGAGATGATTATATAATGCTAATCACTAAAAACTTTGCTTCCTAAACATTTTATAAAAACAAAATTACCTAGAATTTTTTATTTTCGGCTGATTCAATTAAAAAAGCAGTAAAACCAAAGTTTAACATTTCTAAAACCGAAATCAATTTTTTTCTTAAATAGAACTGAAATTACCAAATTGACACGATTCGATTTTATTTTCTAATTTCAACTAAGTAATGCACATCCCAGTGTACAGATGCCGCAAACACCTATACCTTCTTGATAAGTCCCAAGTCGGTAAAATCCAATAGGATCAGCGCGCAAAAAATAAAAATATATTGGATCAAAAAATAATTAGAATGAATAATAAATATAATAAGTTAACTCTAACGCAAATATTAGATATACTTTGTGCCCATAAATCAAATAATTTAGTAAATAACCAAAACATTTCTGAGTTAATTTTTTTTAAATAAAAAGAGCGCAATATCCAAACCCCAGGGCCCTCTGCCCCAAGTAATTGATTATTGAGGCAGCATCCGCCGTTCAAAGCAAAGTCCCACGATTTCTATAAACAGACTCCAAATCAAACGAATGACAATGATTGATATTTTTAGCTCAGGACGATTTTAAATTGAATTTAATTCGGATCGAATCAACTCATTTATTTAAAAGAGAAAAAAATGATTTTGCTTGAATTTAAAGAGACATCAAATTAATTCATATATATATCAAGCGAAATATATATACACATACACACACAAGTCATGCATGTTATGCAGAGGAGCCTATTGGTCACTTAGTAAGTATAAGTCAAGCTCCCAGAGGTCGGCGACGAGGACAGCTTTGTGGATCCCACGCTCCCCGCAGTGCAGCTTCGCCACGCAAAGAAAATCAGAAAGGGAGGTAAGCTAGAACTAGCTGCCACGTCGACATTTCGTTAGCAGAAAGATAATATATTTTTTTTAAGTTTAAATTAAAAAGCATTAATGGAAGTTATAAAACTTTTTTCAAAAATATTTAATCTAACGAAGACTCTGTACAGCAGTCCCAAGTCAGCACCGAGTCAGCGAGCGATGTCCAATTTCGGCGGCTGACTCAGCTGCTCCATCTCCCAACTCAGTTTAAGTGCATTGCCCTGCTCTCGGGGTTCATATTCCTGTAGTATAAGAAATATAAAGATATATAAAAAAAACTAATTATATATACATATATTTTCTGATAATATACAAATAAAAACATTCTTTATATACAAAACATAGAACAGAAAAGTAATAATTATTACAGAGACATTTTTCATGCTTGACAAAATAAATGAATAATATTAATAATATACAACAATCATAGCCAAATACAAAAAGAAAGCTTAAAAAATTAAAAATATAAATATAATTTAAATATTATCATCTTTTGCTATATTAAATTCTCTGTACGAATAATTAGATAAACTATAAGTATTTTAGTCAAATTGTAGCTTGCCAATTTGTCTAACTCCTGTATAATATAATATTTAAGAGTATATTTATATGATTTCAAGTGGTTCATTAGCGCCGCCCTTCGATATATTTACGAGCCCGTGTAAAGAATTTTCTGCGCCCAATTTTATATTCATCTTCACAAATAAGACCTTCCATTTCAAATAAAATGAAAGTCCTTACAAATTAAATTCACAAAATTAGAGATATAACCTTCGCGCAAAATTTTTATACAAGCTATTACGCGGTTGCCAACTACGTACGTACCTCGAGCTTAGACAGCAACTCATGGGCACTTTGTGCGGAGATTATAATATTACGAGCAGCGGGATCTATGAATCCCTCTTCCACGGCCTTATCGATGAATGATAGCAAGCAATTGTAGTATCCATCAATGTTCAGCAAACCAACCTTAATCATAATTATTAGCATTAATCAACTCAAAATTAAGAAATGAAACTTTCAATGAGTGTAATAGAAATTAAATGTATGTATGTGTATATATATATATATATGTATAAGTATGCATATAGATGTAATTACCGGCTTGTTATGGATCCCAAGCTGAGCCCAAGTGATGGCTTCAAGAAGTTCTTCCAAAGTTCCGTAGCCACCTGACTCAGAATTTAAGAAAATGAGTGCAATTTGTCAAAGTGTGTTACACTTTTTTTGTTACAAAATTTTATGTAGCACAGTTATGAAACATTCAGTGAATGATTGGGTGTCCTTCCTTAGCCGACATCAATAATCAAAGGGTGTGGGAGGGTGCTGTTGGGCTTTAACAAGTTATATATTCTGAAATTATCATTTTAATCCATACATAAAATATTACATCTAACAATATGATATTTCGCTTGAAATAAGTTATGTCATTTTTACTAGGCTAACATTTAAAGGCAATATGCAAGTAATATTAGTTATAAATATGTGGGATGCCTACCAGGCAAGGCGATGAAGGCATCTGCTTGCCGGGCCATCTCTGCCTTCCTTTGATGCATGCCGGATACAGCTCTGACCTCTCCTATGGTCTCACCAGTTATCTAAAAGCCCAATAAAATGTGTTAATCAAGAGCTTAGATCTAAAAAGCATTAATTCTTCATTAATAAATAACTAAGAAAAATTCTTATATTAATAAAGCTTTGTTTGGTTTATTTTTATTTTTATTATTCCATTGAATTTCAAAAAATAAGAAATTATAGATTTCTTCGATGAGTTCAACAGCCATAACCAATAAAATGCAGGGTGCCGTTTCTATTTATATAAGAAAAAAATAATGATTTTATTTAATATAGTGAAGCAGAATAAGAAAGCAATAAATATGACCAACAAACGCCTTTGTAATAAATAAAAGATAAAATCACCTGGATAAGGCATTGATGAGATAGCAGGAAGCCAAGAGCAACTTTTGTCTAACCTATATTGGCTGTTCTAGCACTTAATAGGCATTGCCTTTTATGGATAAAATTAGGCTAGGTTTCAATTTTTCCATTTATTTTTTGTTTTTTTTTTAAATTTGGGCGAATTTAATTGCAAATATACCCACATCACATTCAGAAGACTTTGAATATTATAAAACTTATTAGAGAAGACTAAGATGGCAAGCCAGTGGATGAGGTAGAAGAGATTTTTGAAGAAAAAAATCGAAAAAAAACGATTTTTTTTTTATAAAAATAGTGACTTATAACTAAAAAAAGTATTTTTTTTTGGGAGAAAAGGTAGAATGTAGAATACCTCTCTGGGCATGAGAGTCTTGGGAATCACCCTGCATTAGTAAAACAGAATAAATCTGAGAAAGGAGAACTTCATTAAGAGATAAAGAAATAATTTTTATGTTTCTGGGGAGAAATAGAGACCCTAAGACATGGCGGCCGCCGCTAAAAGGGGGCCCGCCGTTAAAAACTGCCTGGGAGACTAACCCCATGAGGCCAATACTACCACCACCGTACACCAAGTCTATATTTCTCTTCACCTGCAAGTAGAACAAAGTAAACATGAGCAACACTACAGCCCTGAAGGCAGAGTAATCCCTTCCTCACCATTGAACAAAAGGTCATTCCCTCCAATCTTCCGCGAGAACAGAACAATGAGCTTCAGAAAGCAAGAGGAAAAGCAGAGCAAGAGAGAGAGAGAGAGAGAAGAAAACTCTATTGTGGAGGTTTGTTTTCATAATAAATTTACAAAGGTGGAAACTTTGGAAGAGAAAGAAGGAAGAAGAAGAAGAAGAGAGACTGACCAATTCATGACCGAGCTGAGCGGCTGCAAGCTGATAGCTTGGTTTCTTCCCCGTGCTACTCCCGCAGAAGACACAAATCCTCTTGAACTTGGATGAAGATTTCGTCTCGTTGAGCAGGACTTCCATCATCAACTAGCAAGAGAAGGAAGGCTTCTCTCTCTACCTCTTATCTCTCTTTCTCTCTGTGAGTGTTGCTTGGTGGAAGACGAAGCTTAAGGATTGCTCTGCCCAAGAAGGAATGGAGGACGCAGGCTTGAGTAGCAGAAGGGGCACTATTAAATCAACGCCAAGCGGCGAGAATTACGATGCGATTTCTCTTCTGCTTATCGCGCCAATTTCTCGCGGAGAGAAACGCAGGGATGACTGAGAGTGTTCTGGCACTTTGGGGACGGCAGTAAATTTGACCGGAAGAATAATGATTGTTTAGACAATTTAATTTTCTTTTTTCAAAATAGTTTTATATTTTGATTTTATCTTATTTTTAAATAAATTTAATTGTAGTGCCGTTGAATTTAGAATTTTTCAGTTGTATGTCTAAACTCTTAACTAATAAATTTAAATAATTTATATTTTTTTGTTTGTTTTTATTTATTTGAATTTATTAAGGTAGCAATGGATGATATTCTCTATCATTTTTATTGGTTTATCTAAGTCAAAATAATAAAAATTAGAAAAAATTAAAATTTAAGTGTAAATTTATTTTAAGAGTGTAATATTAAGATTTTTAACTGTGTTTTTTTTTTAATAAAAAATGTTGTAGAATTATTAAGAAAATAATTTTCTTAAGAGTTGATATAAATATATTATAATTTTTTTTAAAGGTCGATCAATGCTTTTGCTAGTAAATTAGAATATGAAAAAGATAATATTTTGAAAATTTGTAAAAATTTAAAATAACAATAGAAAAATACTCGAAATAAAAAGTAGGCTGGTTTTTGGAGAATTTACATGCATAACATAAAATTCAATATATATATATATATATATATATAATTTCGCAAATATTTTTTTATTTAGATAAAATACATCTTTTCGTGTGAATATTTGAATTCGATGTAAGCACAAAAAATAACATATGAATAAATGTAAAAATATAGACATAATAAGATATGCATAATTACATAAACACTTTATAATATTTATGCAAATTCTTTATGATTTTATATTTGAATTGAATTAAATTAATGTGTATATTTATCAGTCAGAATTTTTTCTAAACACAATTTATACCAAACATAACCTCCTCAGATTAAATTGAAGCATCCATCAAAGAAAAGCAAAGTTGAAATTTCCCAAGTGAATTCTGAGACGACCAGAATCTCCAGATACGACGGTAGGCCAAGTTCCCAATGGGCATAGAACAGTGGCCGGTTTGGCGTACGGAAGAGACCCAGGTGGCCCATTTATAGTTCATAAAGTGCAATGCCCAATTTTTGGTTAGGCATTAAAGCTTATTTATAGCGTTGTTTCACATTTAAACTTCTACTTAGATTTTGGATTTTTTTTTTTTTGAAATTTATTATAAGTAGTATTTTAATTTTCTTAAGAAAATCTGACGTTAAATCAGTTTTTTTCTCAGCACGTAAATATTTGAAAAATATTATAATTGTTATCTTAGGGCCCGTTTGGGGCAGCTTATAAGTGCGGCGGCATTTTTTAAAACGCCGCCACCCCGTTTGTTTTGCACGCTTGACGCTTGAGTCACATTTTCATAAACGAAGTTCCTATTTTACGTTACACGCCCGCCCCCGGGGCCTTACCGCGGGTCTATCCCCGCGATCCGCGTTGTGCCTCCGAGTTTTTACGCGTCTGCCCTTGTGAAACATTCCCGCGTCGTCCCTATCCTCGCTCCATTCGATCGCTTCTTGCCCAAGCTGCGCCGATCTCCTTCTTCTGCCCTTTGATCACGTCTGCCCTAGCTGTGTTGAGCTCCCTCTTACGCTCGAATTCGCGTCCTGCCCTGGCTGCGCCGAGCTCCATCTCCACTCGAGTTTGCTCGTCTGCCCTAGCCGCTTCTCCCTACTCCCCCATTTGGTCGATCCCTCTCTAATCCCTCTCTACCCGGCAAGCACCTCTCCATTTCTTTGGAATAAAGAACATTTCTGTAATCTTCCCTATTTCAACTTCCTCCTTTCTTCTTCTTCCCATTATTGATTTCCAGAAATCTACGGCTACACAACAAAGCTATTCATTTTGGTAACAAAGCTCCACTTCTCCAAGAAAAATACTCTTCCTCCACCTGCAAGATGTCAGAAAATTTCTCCAGACATCTTTCGCCGGAACTCAGCGACAATCCTATCAAGTATGGAGGTATTTTGATCCCTCCCCAACTCAAATTCATCATCATGAATGACATCTCAAATTCATCATGAATGACATAAAGACAACAATCAATTGTGTGCTACATATGTAAATTTCCCTTAATTTTTGAGTTTTTTCAAATTCTCTCCACTTGACTGCAAGTTGGAGCAATGACATATACAACACTTTATTTTGTTAATATGACTTGTTTCATAATTTTTTTGACTTTAATTACTTATAGTTAATGTGTTTGATTTTCCTGCTCTTCATATGGTATATTGAATACTTATTCTCATTAGCCTTAAGAATTATAGATGTGTAGTTTTACTGTTAATAGGTTTGTAGATAGACTCCCTTGAGCGGGGAGTATATCTTTTTTTTTGTTTGAAATGTTATGTAGTGTTTTTTGGTTTTTAGTATATTGAATTTGTTCAATTATATTATTGTTGTGAACAACTCCACTGTATGTGGCCAAAAAGGTCATTTTTCCGCAAAAAGCTGCAAATTAGCTGTTCTCAAACCGCATAAACTAAACAGCGTAACAGTTTATTCAGTTCAGGGGCAAAAGGGTCATTTATCCAAAAAAAACTGCAAATCAATTGTTTTCCAAACGCACAAATCAAACAGCCAGCCAGTTTATTCGGATCAGCTGCTCATCAGCAGATTATTAGAATTAGCTGCTTATCAGCAGAAGCTGGATAAACTGCAACTGCCCCAAACAGACCCTTAGTCTGCCCTCTGGAAAGCAAAATTTGTTAAACATTAAATCAGTTTTTCCCAGGACGTAAAAATTTTCTTAAGGGTTGATAAGAGAGTAAATTTTCTCCAATTGGATTGTTATATTTTTTTCCTTATCTTGCTACTAAACTGCGATATTTTTATGCCGCAAAATAGTTCTGGGTTTTATTTGGTGGCGTGATGATTGTGTTGTGTACGAGAAAATATTATGTTCGGAGTTCTGATATGCAGACTCGAATTAAAATTTGATGTGTTTTTGTAGCCTAAAGTCCATTTGAGCTGAGGAGTAGTGTTGAGAATTTTAGGTTACAATATATATATATATATATATATATAATATGTATGTATTATAACCCTAAGAGTATCTTGTACTTTTTTTCTGAATTGAAAGGAAAAATCGTAGTTCTGCTATATAGCCCCGACATACAATATGTAATTACAAAATTACCCATGTACCGTACCGCGGGGGCGTTGCCCTCGCACCCCCAACCCACATAACAAAACTTCTTCGATTGGGCAGATGCTTCTGCTCGCGAGCTCTGCTCTGCTTGCTCGCTTCGTTGGCTCGCTTCGTTCCGCTCTAGCATCTATCCCTTATTTGGTATATGAGTCATAGCTAACAAGTAGAACATTGTGGTTAGCTACTATGAGGGGTAAAATTAAATGTGTGTCCTTATTTAAAAATTTATGATGTGCTGAGAAATTAGTGCGAAGAAAAATAGAGGTTCGGCAAAGATGCCTACGTCCGCGGGAGCAGAGCGGCAGCTTTTCTAATTCAGAAAAAGTACATAATAGAGGGATTCAGCTCTCTCAAATACCTAGAATTACAAATAAGTCTATTTATAATTCTATAGTAAACCCTACAATACAATATGTAATTCCCAAATTACCCCTGTCCGTATATCGGGGCGTTGACCCAGCATCCCCAACCCATATAACGTAACTTCCCGATTTGGACAGATTCTTCAGCTTCGCCCCGCTCCGCTTCGTTCCAGCATCTGTTCTTATATGGCATATGAGTCATACCATAACATGATGGACATCTTTGGTTAGCCTTAGTGAGGCATAAACTAATAATCCATGTATTGTGGTGTAGTGACATTAAAAGTCACTTGATAGAACAAATATTGTCATCTGAGTTCTAAAATGATAAAAGTAATTTCGGGAGACGTCCGAAAGTAATGCTTTACCAAACCAAAAAGAACATGCATGTCGGCGTTCCCGTGCCTACTCAATCAAAGCTAGAGTGGTCCAAACTAAAACAAATGAAAACAACGCGGCCTCTAATATCAATCCCGACCCAATGAATATATATACATCTATAGAAATACATTACATAAACTTAAAAAAGAAAGTAGACATTTCCCAAATAGTTGCTATAGATATAATATGGGTCGGTTTGTTGGTGGCTTTCGGCAGAGTGAATAGAATAACTCAATTCCTTGCCGTTAAGAAAAAAAAAAATATATAATATATATTTTATTGAGGTGTCTACGTCATGAACCGAATGTCTTTGCCGGCACTTTTGACCATCGCCGCCCACTCTATCCTCCCCTTTCTCTCTACCTTCGGCTTGCCCGTCTTATCCAAGTAACTCATCCATTCCCCTCTCCTACAACTTCTTACTGCCATGCCCAAGAAAATGTTCCGCTTATTTCACCTTTCTGCTTTTCTGTTCCTTACTTCAGGGACACACAGAGAGTGACGGGCTAAGAAAAGGATCTATGTATAAATTTATGATATTATAATTTTTTAGATTGCAATAAAGTAAAATATAACAAAAACTGTTCACCTCTTTTGGGACTGTCAAAGTGGGTAGAAAACTTTGCGCGCACGTATTGCTCCAAGTGAAAAAGCTGATTTTGTCTTCATAAGAATTTGGACTATGCTCAAAAACTGGTCGGGTGAATCAATGATGGCTGTTGGGATGGAAGTTGGAACTATTTAAATAAATACTTTTAGGGCTTCAATTAGTTAGAAATTACATTTTCAATTTAAGAAATCAGAAAGAAAAATCAAACAAAAGCATAACAATATAATTCCTGAAAGAGCACATCAAGATTAGATTCCATATAAAACAAACCCCGCCTACGTGATAACATCAAGTCGTATAGAACTTGAAACCTACTCAATGCTCAAGATTAACACTCTGTTAAGCTTACTCGAGAAATCATAAGTTGTCTACTTCATAAGTCTATTTTCTCATAAAACTCAATTACTCAATTATAAGTACTCTTCCATTGCCTTGAGATTTTCCATAAGAGAACTCATTCTCAATTCAAAACCCATATGAACTTCCCTATTGATAGCCAAAGATAAATTG